CCCCAAAACCCCAAAACCCCAAAACCCCAAAACCCCATGATGAGTATTTTAGGGTAAATTCATAAAAATCAGAAATTATATTATGCTTTATATTAAAAATATATTAATTAGATGTTGGGATTATTAAATTTTTTATATTGAATGCCTTGAAAATAAAATATTTACATTTTGATTAAATAAAAGGACTATATATCATAAAAATTAACATAAAATAGTCAATCATGTTTAACTTTATAATTAGTATTCAAAACAAAAGGGCCTACGCCAATGATTCTTGATAAAGAAAACCAACTGAATATCGAGCTAATCGGCGAATCCTCAAGGTAACCAAGCAAAATGAGATACAAGTTGCTTGCCTCAACCGTCGTTGCTTTAGCTGCTTTCTTCATTGCCTTCTAGACTGTTAGCAATGGGTCGGATGAACTTGAACTCCAAAATCCAACTACTCTAACTTACATGGAAATCAACCTTGGAGAATGGTAGAAACTTACCTCTTTTGGACTATTTTCAACACCAATAAGGAGTCTACATGTATCTCCTAAAGGAGACATCTATGTCCTATAAGATCAACCACCCAATTATAGATACGAATAGTCAAGCTTGAGAAGGTACAGCTTCAAGTACGATTCGTTTGAGGGTGCTGTATTGTGGTTTCTACCCAGATCATTGGAGGCTAAAATCTTCTTGAGCTACTTGCTCAGTGAGAAATATGTTGCCTTGGTGAGAGCGGACAACTCTGTTTTAAACAAGCGATGTTCGCTGGAAGTGCAATTCTTCCTGATACTTAGTTGCTCAAATTAGCATTGGAAGGTGAACCATTCAGTGCTACCAGACTTTGCTACAGAGCATCCTAAGATGGATTTAGTTGTGATCTCTTTTCGAGCTAATGCCGTGATAAGGGCCCATCAGTTACTATTGTAAAGACTACAAAAGGAAAAGTATTCGGCGGATATAATCCAATATCCTGGTAAAATACTCCTTTAAGGCCAGATTCAACTCCAAGAGCATTCGTATTTATTCTTGATAGAGGTCTTATTCTTCGTTCACGATATCCAAAATCTCCTTCTATTAAAAACACATGCTGCGGGCCAAGTTTTGATATTGACTTTACTCTTGATCTTAACTTTCCGGAATCTCAATACACTCGCTTTGGTTCCACATACAATGGAATTAATTATTTTTCATTGGATGCTGAAAGTTTTCTAGCTGGAGAACCGAATTATCATTTAGCAGATGTGGAGGTTTACACTCTCTCTTGAAATTTACGAACAAACCTTCTCCGAAATTGATAATATTTGGATGTCGGATAAATCGCTTTTGGAAAAGATTAATAAATACTTAATCTTCACTAAATTTATCTATTTTTTGATTTCATTAAATTACCCAAACTTTGCTGAATGGGGTTTTGGGGTTTTGGGGTTTTGGGGTTTTGGGG